GTTGCCTTTTTGCAATAACTCATCTTCCTCATCAAATTTGACACTAGATACATTTCTACTACAAATCACCCTTTTTATGTATAAGGATAGTATGTTTTTCTGGTTGCTGCTGCCTATTCTGTTCTCATCTCTAGACTGTAAACCCTTTCAGGCAGGGCCTATGACCGCTTCTTGGTGGAGGGTCACTGACAAGTCACTAGGATTACATTTGGATGACACATTAACGATACAGTCTGTGATTAGCTGTGAATGTGCCTGATCAAGCCATCTGGCTACCTGTGTCCTACCTTTGAGGTTATGCAACTCAGCATTATCTGCTGCTGGTTTACTGAAGAATTACTGGGTACTTTGCTTTCAACCCTTGCAAACTATGGAAGGAACTTAAAATGATAGGTTATGCTAGCATCACACTGACGTTACCATTAGAAGAAAAACCCAAAGCGCTAAAACAGGAGCAATTAAGACATCAACTCATTTTGCCTTAGCCATTCGTCATAAAAACTAAAAAACCCGACCCGCTAAGAACAAGAAAATTAATAACTTTCAAAATGTTTAAAGGATCTAAAAGAAAATAAGCAGAGGTAAATTACCTCTTAGGAAAGAATTCCATAAATACGGTTCCACCTTTGATAAGTTCCTGTCCATGCCTGCCTGCTTGGCTCTCAAGGCCACCAGGCTTATGAGCAGCAGCCCTTCTGCAGCTCTACAAACAACATGGCCAGATGAATAATTGCTATTTATCACACGAATGTTAAGATGGTGTGATTGGTTTTTTTTTAGCTTCTCTTGTTTTTTGTTTCAGAGCAGGAGGGCATACTTCCAGATAAAGTGCTGAACTAAATTTGCAAAAAACTGAATTTGTGAAAAGCTCTTGGGTTGCAAGGATTTTGAGACATTTCAGCTGAGCTGAAGTTAGTGCCTCAGTGCTTAACTCCTGAAATCAAATGATAACATTTAAGCCTGTTAAAAGCATCCCCAGTAACTTTTCCACTACAAAAGTTCAGAGAGCTTCACATAGCGCTTCTCAGCAACTCTTTAAAATAGCTGCTTCTATGCTCCATAGATGTAATGTGACTCCCAGGAAAAAAAAAATGTTTGCTCTAATGCAGCAATCCCCAACCTTTCCAGCTTGGTGGTCTGGCATGTGAGTGGCAGGCGCACGCGTACTCACAGCTCCACTCGTGAAAATGCAGCTTCGTGCACAAGCGGAGAGTATTTTTGCTCATGTGCAAAGCTCCACTTGTGCGAGTGGAGGGCTCTTGAGCGAAGGGTGCTTGTGCATGCACGCGAGTGGAGGGCACTCACATGCAGAGTTTCATTCGCATGAATGGACCTCTGCACACAAGTGCACGCACCCTCCACTCACAGGAATGGACCTTCACGCATGAGCTCAAGTGCCTTCTGCTTGCACAAGTGGAGCTTCATACATGCGCAGTTGCCCATTTCTCCTGCAGCCCAGTTTCAAACAGACTACAGTCCAGTAGTGGGCTGCAGCCCAGGAGTTGGGGACCCCTACTCTAATGAGTTGCCAACAAGAGCTACATAAGTCTCCTTCGGATCCAAAAGTCCACACAGTTTTGATATATTTTTTAAAAAACGTTCCATTTCTCTTTCATTATGTGGGATCAGTCCCTGACTTCAGATTGATCAAGTTTAAAACAGTACAGGTAGTCCTTGATTTACAGCAGTTCGTTTAGTGACCATTCAAAATTACAACGGCACTGAAAAAAGTGACATGACAGCTTTTTACACTTATGACCGTTGCAGCATCTCCACGATCACATAATCAAAATTCAGATGCTTGGCAACTGGTTCACATTTATGATGGTTGCAATGTCCCTGGGTCATGTGATCATTTTTCGAGAACTTCTGACAAGCAAAGTCAACGGGGAAGCCAGATTCACTTAACCACTGTGTTACTAACTTAACTGTGGCTAGAAATGGGGCAAAATTCACTTAAAAAATGTCTCACTTAACAACATACATTTTGGGCTCAATTGTGGTCGCCAGTCGAGGACTACTTGTCTTGTACAAATATATTTCTACTTCCACAGCTTCCAGGCTCTTACTTTGTTAAGCCGGCTAATGAAAATAATGCCTGAAATTGGTGCAAGAATGGGTGTCCTTCAGTGGTGAAATGTAAAATTTGTTACTACCAGTTCTGTGGGCGTGGCTTGGTGGGGGGTAATGTGACTGGGTGGGTGTGGTCAACTTTTTATTTATTTATTTAAAAGCATTTTTTCTACAACCTCCTTGGCCGAAGAGGTTGTAAAAAAATGCTTTTAAAAGGCTCTGACAATCCCAGCTGAGCCGGACAATCATCAGAGGCTTTTTTTTTTTTTACTTTTAAAAGCCTTTTTTCGGCTGAAGAGGTTGTAGAAAAAATGCTTTTAAAAGTTAAAAAAAAAAGCCTCTGATGATCGCGCGGCTCAGCTGGGCATGAGGGGGGGGGCAGGGATTTTTGCTATCGGTTTTCCAAACCACCAGTCGCCATCGCTACCGGATGGGGTGATCCAGTTCAAACTGGGAGCATTTCACCCCTGGTGTCCTTGCTTTGCGTGTGATGAAGTGCCTTAATCAAGAGCTGAAACTATCCAGTGCAACAAAATCCTTTCTGACTCACAAAAAGAAAGTCCTTTTTCTCCCGCCTTTCTTTTTCTACAGAGAGAAATGGCCACCAATCTATTTGGCTCCCTAACTTGGAGCCAATTGACATTAAGAAGCCCTGATCTTAAACTCATAGCGGAAAAGGCAATTTAAAATCAGGCTTCTCCAATCTGCAGCCGTGGACTGCGTGCAGTCCTCTGAATCCTTTTCTGCAGCCTGCAGCAACAGCTTTTGTAAGAGCTGAAGACACCACCTCACAAGATCAAAGCCCTGAGCGCTGCACCAACATGCAGACTTGGTCACCAGAAACACTCAGAGCAGCCTCACCACTTTCCTCAACTAAGCCAAGCAGACTTCCTGAAGCAGTTTGGACTGCCATGAACTTGGTGCCCCAATTTCTCCTTTGCCCAGCAGTGCTAGCCTTTGCAAACTTCTGCCCCCTCTCATACTCTGGTGGGCACTGATTTGGAGGCAGGACTGAAGGCTCTCTGAATGTCTGAATGAGCGAGGGTTACTTGACAAGGAAAGAGAGGCTAGAATGTGGCTCTGGGGTTGTCTTCTACCAGGACAAGATCAGGAAAGACAGCAAGTATACAAGCAAGCAAGATCTTTCTGCTAGGGGCAGGCAGGCAGGCAGGCAGGCAGGGAAAGGAGGGAGAGAGCGAGGGAGGGAGGGAGGGAGGGAGGGAGGGAGGGGAGGAGGAAGGAAGGAAGGAAGGAAGGAAGGAAGGAAGGAAGGAAGGAAGGAAGGAAGGAAGGAAGGCTTTGCTTCAGAAGGGGGAGAAGAGAGGGAAGCAAACCTGAGATGAGTTTCCTGGATTATAACATTGTAGATAAGATCTTGGAAAAATATTACGTATCAGCTTAATAATAATGTTAAATACGAGTCTTCTGATTAATGCAAAATCTGCCAGCTAAGTGACCAAAATGAAATAGATTAAATTGATTAAATGTATGATTAATGACCTTCAGTGCTGTGATGATCTTCGTTTTCTTAATTTTTGACTCAGTAGAGACTTTTGAATAGATTGACATCCATGGAGAGTGGTTGCCCTGAAATCAGAGGGTTAGCAATTTTCTTTCCTTCTTTGAGTTCAGCACAGCTGGAAATATGATTTCAAAATGAAAATTAGTCAAAGCATTCAGTTCTCTTCTTTTCCCTTCCAGCACTCTTTTTTCTACTGAAGATTTCAATCTCTATGGTTCCTTTAGGTAAGTCATCGGGAAGGAACTACATATAATTAACGTACTTTGAACTTTAATGGCTGTCCCATTAGGGTAGGGATTGTGAGCAATGGTGACTAAATTTGATGTAAGATAGTGGATGTGTAGAGGCTTATCTATAGCACAGTCATTTCAGATTTATGAGTTTGGTGGAAATATATGCTATTAACGACTTCCTACTGATGGCACAACATTGCCACACAAAGAAAAACCCCTCCACCGATGAAATGACAGGGTAGAAGGAAACCCTTTGCTATCTTTCTTGTTTGTTTTGTTTTTGTCAACTGCTTTATATCTTGTGATTTTAGAGGGTGTGGTAGAAGAAGGGAGGGGGATGCTTGTCCTACATTCAACCACACGGAGAGACTTGGGATTCCCAACTTTGAACAGAGGTGGCTTTGGAGGAGATTAGGGAAAGAGAAAGGAATCTGTCATTTTATGGTTCCTAGAACTCAGTTTTACAAGACTAGAACTGTATCCAAGAGAACCAGCCATCAACTGCCTCAACAGGACTATTCTTTAATGATCAGCAAGTTAGTCACATGAAGTCTGCAAACACTGGGAAACTGGATGGATCATGGTTTTGGTCCAAGAATACTGTAGACTGAATCAAGAGACTGCATGCATCTGCTGTCCTTTCACCCACTAGAAGATGTACAAAAAAGAGGATGCCCAAGCCTTCAAGCTTTTCTCCAGCTGTGGAGGAAGCAGAACATTGGAGATTGTTGATTCTGCTACAGCTTTGGTGACCTTTTCTTGGAGGGTGGTCCTTGGACACAAATAGCAGAAAACAAAACAAAAAAAAAACCCATTTTGCTTCGGTAGCATTGGGAGCTCGGAGGGAAAAATCCAGAGAGAGAGAGAGAGAGGGAGAGAGAGAGAGAGAGAGAGAGAGAGAGAGAGAGAGAGAGAGAGAGAGAGAGAGAGAGAGAGAGAATGAATTGGAAAATGAACTTTGAAAGCCACCCTGCAATCTTTCTTTCAGCAATAGAATGCCGATGAAATATTAAGGAACTAGAAGAATTTGTCCTGGGGCACCTTAAAAGCAAAGAGATTTGTTTTCATATCCTTGCTGTCGAGCAAACCTTTCTGTTGCACAAGTAGAGTTGGGTTGGGCTACGTCTTGGTGCTTAGCATCCACCCTTTTCCTGTGGGTGGGAACCTCAAAAAAAAAAGTACTGGGAAGAAATGGAGAAGAGATTTGGCTACCCGGGCAGTTCTTGCCCATGCAGGTGTGCATAATGCGTAGGAATGCCAGACAGACCTGAGTCACAGGTAACCTCCCCTGCATACATGCAACACGCCTAATCACACCTGAGATAAAGAGAAAACTGCTTCTTTCCTACTTTACTTGCCTAACAGCTATAGGTGCTGCTACTAGGAACTCCTCCATTTACCCTGGAGAAAAGAAAAACAAGCCAGAGGGAGTTGTTTTAAAAAAAAACAAACAGCAACAGCAGCAGCAAAAAGGTGGAGGGAGTGAAAAGGTGTGAGACAATCGTGGATCAGAAGCAACCAGGAGACCTGAAGAGGTGGGTCAAATTGATGAGCTCTTCTTTCTTTCTTTCCTTCCTTCCTTCCTTCCTTCCTTCCTTCCTTCCTTCCTTCCTTCCTTCCTATATCAACTTTGCATCTGAAATAAAACTAGAGTGTGTGAAAGGGGGAGGAGAGGAAGAGCAAGGGGGAGTCAGGATAAGCCAACCTTACATTTGGAAATGACAATGCAGCAGTGAAACAAGTCTCTGTGTGTGTCTCTTCCCCCAACACACACACACATGCACACAGCACACACACACACACACACACACACACACACACCCCTTGCCACTGGAGGAAGTTCTTGCTTTGGTGTGTATGTGGATGGCTGTTCTTTGGATTGTTGCACAGGATCTGGACTTTGAAATGGAATCAGCATGAATGAGGTTTGTGGCACAAAATTTTTATTCTTGGTCCCTGCATTTATTTTTGATTATTTGTTTATTTATGTTACTTGTTTAAAGAGACAACTAATGATTAATCAGAGAGAAAAGTGAAAAGAAACACAGGGCTTCTTGCACAGGTAAGCAAGCAGGCAAAACGGCTGAGGTAGCCCTGTGTTCTTTTCCACTTTAAAGTTAGACCGTAAATTGTGTTCCCTCTTCTTTGCACGGTTGGAACTTGGCACAAGTTCTTGATCAGCCAGTTTGATGCAGCAGATCAGAGCATTCCCCCCACCTCCTCTTCGCTCTCTTGCTGGAGACTCCTTTTTATCTGAATTAACCAGGCTATTCATATAATTCCTTTGCGCCCACATACCCATGCAGTTTCTCTTTCTCTCTGTGTACATTCGCAGGGCACATTAGGAAATTACAGGGAAGATGGCTATCAACAATAATGTGTTCTTCTCAAACAGAGGAAGGTGAACTTTTCCTGAGTGAGAACGTTGACATTTCCCTCCCACAATATCCCTGTGTTGTTAACAACTTCGTAACAGGCAGACATTGGGCAGTAAACTTGATCTTGTCATGGCAGTATAGTGAAGAACAGTTTTCCTTAACTAATTAATTTCAACCTGTCGTGCCATTTGTAAATTTGTTAAAAGTGGAGAAGAATGGGGGAGAGAGGGAGGATTATAGTAACTCTCCTAGCAGTTAGAAGATAGCAGCTGGGTATTTTTAATATGTTATCAATGTTTAGGGCTCTAAGCACAGATTCACATACCATTTTTATTTCTCCTAAGCCCCGTTCTGACTTGATTGTTGTTTAATTGAGAATCACATAATCTGTATAATTGAAAATAATGTACTTGTCCTGATTTCAGATGTTAATATCTTTAGGAAAGAATGTGTGAGAATGTGTGAGAATGAAGAAACTAGATAGATTAACAATGTGCATGAGATTTAAGATAAATTGGATGGATTGTTTGATTGCTTGAGAAGTAGTTTAAAATAGGTAAAGCAGCAGGTCTGGAAGAAGGGCAGATAGAAGTGAGGTTATAGGATGGTGGACAGAGATGATGTTGGTCTGCATACAAGGAAGTCACTAAAGATCAGCTTCAAACCTCTAGTCAGTTCTAGAGCTCAAGTATGAAATGGGTCCCTGAGAATTAAAAAGTGAAGTTAAGAACATATGCATAGTATATTTCTCTTTACCGCTAAACTCACTTTCAGGTTAGAGAGACATTTTGGATTTTAGCTGAGGAAGGATTCAGGTAGCTCTAAATATTTGTTCTTGTTTGCAGTATTAGATGTCATTTTTTTCTCTAATGGAAAGACTATCAATGTGTTGTTTACAATGCTAATTGATTATATCTCTATAATCTCTATTGTTGTGGCTACTGTTGGAAAACCGTAGCCACAGCAATAGGTCACATTTCGGATCTCCAAGAAGTGTTCCTGGGTTCTCCCCAATGTAAAAGTTGTCAAAATGTCATAAATTTGGGTAATTTGGGAAGGAGGGAATATCCCAGCCACAGAAAGACAAGACCCAACTAGATTACTGATTTCTTTACAGTTTAGCAATACAAGACAAATCAATATGATGTTTCTGATAAAGAAAAGAGCGGTTTGGTTTTTACTGTGTATAATTAGGGCATAGCATCTTTTCTTTTTACAACGGCCATACTTAAAATATTATCTGTGATGTGTCATCTGTGACAACAGAGGAATGCAACAAAGGAAACAAGAGTTACCTCGTGTCTCTAATTGATACCTGCTTATTATGCAAGCTTGAGTTCTAGCATTTCCCTCTGTCCATTAAAAATCTGCAAAAAAAATTGTTTTAGAAAATATGTAATTTTTGGCTTTATTAATGATGAGAAGGTTGGTCATGGAAGCCTATTCATTAACTAAAAGGAAGGAAAATGAGAATAGTCAAATGGAAAGACTGGGGAACTGTGTTTTTATTGCTTTGTAGACAATAGAGATATCTCTATCAGTGTTTCACCTTGTATAGTCTAATTTATGTTTGTTTTCAATATACTCGTCTGTGTGGGATCCTTGGTGCTCTCTGAGCTTGGTTGTTGTTGTTCTATCAATATTCTTCCACTTATTTTGGCCATGTAAGGTACTAGAGGGCCCATTCATGCCTCAAACTCAATGGAATTTGTAATTTATCAAAAGTGGTTATCTAAGTGAAGTAATATTCTGAAAGAGTGGCCATGGGAATTTGATGACAGGAAATCTGGAACAGCTCAAAATAATACATTTGGGATCTAATTTTTTTTGGGGGGGTATGCTTTGCATAAAGGTATGGGAGAAGGAAATTTATCACAAGTGTGTGTAAGACTGTCTTACCTAATATCACCCAATTCATGCTATAAAAGCACCTGGAAGAAGTTTGTCTGTAGTCCCTCTACTTAATTTCTTTTTCAGTGCAGTGACCATGAGCAGGGCCTTCCCAGTAGCAGCCTCTTCAGATTGTCAAACTGAGGACAGGCCTACTCACCCAGACTATTCAAGGTTATCTGCCTTTTAGATCACCTATCAGATTACCCATCCTTCCTATGTATTTATCATTTATATATTTATTGTTTCTAACCATTGTTGGTTTTCTGGTAGTTTTAAGAGTTGGTGTTGTTGCTATTTGTATAATTTGATGGATTGATGTTGCTTCTGTACTAAAAAAAATCTGTTTTGGTCTCCTCATGGTTACTAGTAGAGAATTGCATGCTTCATAGTCCACTGCCTTGTGTGCTTCATTTATATGCTGTCCAGAGTCATCTTCTGATGCAGTAAGGTCATTGTCATTGTAGAACATTTGTATAGAATTCTTGCATAGATGTCTTTTTCTGGAAATTATTTCCTTGGGGATTGATTGATTGATTGATTGATTCTGTTTTTCTGCCATTTGTAACATTGTCTCTATGTACGTCAGAAACCTTCATTTGCACCTTTCAAGTGGATTATCTCTTCTTTTTCAATTTCTCTTTTCAGCTGCAAATTTCTTTTTCTTCTCTCTTTCTCCCTCCCTCCCTCTGCTGTATAGTACTTCCTCCTTTGACGTGACTGTCCTATTACCCTCTGTTTCAAAAGCTGGTCTTTTCCCTTACATTTTCCATCTGGCAAAGCTTTTGATCTAAGAGTTGAAATGGCTTCAAATGTTGCCATAGGTGTGGCACCATCTTCTTGTGCCTTTTTTTTTTTTTTTTGCTCCTCTGAAAGAGAATTTTTGTAGAGTAACATGCTAAAGTTCAGTGTCTTTCTACATACTGGATAGTGGAATTGATTGGATTTAAGCAGAAACTTTAAGGAAGTAACAAAATAGGTAGGAGGTATCTTGCCCCATACCTGAAAACAGTCCAGCAAGTTATTTGGTGGATAAATGTTGAACAACTATATTCCATTCAACTTCCTGTCTTCTCATGGACTTACTTTCATTGTTTGTCCCTAACAGTGGCAAATGATGGAAGTGAAGCATGCATGAGAATAATGGAAATGCTTAGCAAATGGTTTAACACTGCAATAAGACAAATGCATGATATCCCCTTGTTTGTTTAATTTATTTATGAATAGGCACAAAATATTTGGTGCAGAGTTATTAGAGGAATGATGATTGGGGACACGAATGTGCATACACTTTAGTATGCAGATGTTACTACCTTGTTGTCTGAGAACCCAGAAGATTTGCAGCAAATATTAAATGAAAGAATGCAATCAATTCTGTAATATAGTTCTGAAAATTTATGTGGGAAAGATCAAGGTAGTTGTTTTTGACCGAGACAATTAAGTGAATAGCTGAGAACTATATACTGATGGCAAAAATTAGAGTAGGTAGATGCATTTGTATCATGGTATAATGTTTATTAAAGTTCAAATGGATGGAAACATTTGAAAATGATTAAATATTGATAGAAAAGTAGGGAATAATAGGAGGGTCTGTTGAGCGATGTTGGACTTCAGAGTTTAGTGATCATAGTCACATGGGATCTGAAACCCAACATTACTCAACAGATACCAACCATAGGTGATTCTATGGCATGCTTGGTGCTCTGAGCTTGGTTGTTTGCTTGCCAACATTTCTTTACCCAACTAGGTAATAGCATCAGCACTAGTAACTGTGGGGTTTGCTTCCTGTTTATGTACAGTAATTTGTCCTGCCAGTGTATTTTGTTGGAGGTGTGGTTATCTAAGGAGAAAGCTATGGAGAGAGATAGTGAATGGGAGTGGTAATACTAAATTATTGCATTTCTTTTACTTTCCTCTTATTTCAAATTTTAAATTTATTTGACTTATTACTCATTCCTTTCCTACCCTTTGCATATTATTGCTTACCCTAAAAGAGAATAATGTGATAGGTACATATGTGGATAAAAGCTTACCAGAGGTGGATTTCAGCAGGTTCTGACCAGTTCTGGAGAACCAGTAGCGGAAATTTTGTGTAGTTCGGAGAACCAGTAGTAAAAATTCTGACTGGTCCCACCCCCATTTATTCTCTGCTTCCCAAGTCCCAGCTGATCAGGAGGAAATGGGGATTTTGCAGTAACCTTCTCCTGGAGTGGGATGGGAATGGAGATTTTACAGTTTCCTTCCCCTGCTACGCCCACCAAGCCACG